ATTTAGCTCAGTGGCACCACACCTGCCTGGCAAGCCAAGGTTCCAAGTTTGATCTCCAGTACCAAAAAAAAAGAAAAAAGTAAATCTACATATATTAAAAAGTCATCAGAAAACAGGCATGGTGGCACACACTGTAATCCCAGGTACTTGGGAGGCTGAGGCAGGAGGATAGTTCAAGACCAGCCTAGGCAACATATTGAGATCATCCTCTCCAAAAAAAAAAAAAAGTTGCCCATTGGTCAATGTTACAATTTTCATTCAACCATCAAACATATTTTGAGGAATATATTAAGGGCTGGGAGTGTAGCTCAGTGGTAAAGTACTAACTTAGCATGAGTGAAGCTCTGGGTTCAATCCCTTATACCTAAAAATAAAAGGAGTGATTTGAAAGAACACATTAAGAGGAAAATAATCTATTAACCTTTTTTTGTTGTTACTTCATTCTCTTTTTTTTTTGGTACCCGGGATCGAACTCAGGACCTTGTACTTGACCAGGCAGATACAGTGTCACTGAGCTCATCCCTGGCCTTCTTCATCCTTGATATTCTTGATTTTCTTCAGCATTATTTGCCCTCTGTCTGAATAACTTCTCTAAGTTGCTCTTTTAGAGCAAGTTTGCTGGCTTCAGTTTCTCTTAGCCTGCCTTCCTCCTAGAGTGATTTTACTTCACCTTTACTACTAAAAGATAGTTACCAGTCATAGAGTTATATCTTGGTTCTTTTCTTTCAGCATTTTAAAGTCAAGATTATTTCAGATGAAAATCACATTTAAATCTTTCTCCTCTAAGTAATGTCTTTTTTTTTTTCTGTTCAGTTTGGAGGTTTTCTTCAGTTTTCAGGAGTTTAATTATGTGACTGTGAATTTGTTTTTCCAGTTTGGTGTTCACTGAGATTCTTTTTGTTTTGTTTTGTTTTTTTTGAGACAGGGTCTCACTAGTTGAGACTGACCTGGAACTCACTGTGTAGCCCAGGCTGGTCTCAAACTCACAGTAATCCTCCTGCCTCAGCCTCCGAGTGCTGGGATTATAGGCATGTGCCACCACGCCCAGCTTCACTGAGATTCTTGATCTCTGATTTTTATTTCTTTTTTTGGGAGGGGTAGTGGGTATCGAACTTGCATACTGGTTTGAGGCAGGCAGCAGAACCACTGAGCTAAATCCTGGCCCTGGTTTATGTCTTTTAGTCTCTCCATATTGCCTAGGCAAGTCCTAAACTTATGGGCTCAAGCAGTCCTCCTGTCTCAGCCATTTTGAATAAGCTAGGACTATATACTCGTGCCACACTCAGCTCAAAGTGGTTTGTTTTTTTTATGATACCGGGGATTGAACTTGGGTCCTTGCGCTTGCAAGGCAGGCCACCGAACCGCTGAGCTAAATCCCCGGCCCCCAAAGTGGTTTTTGTGGGTTTTTTTTGTGCTTTCCAGAGCAATTTATTCATTAAAATCTATTCAGTATGCCATCAACAGTTTTCCTGTGTGTATTATGCTGATAAATAGATAACTGAGAAGATTTAATGTTTGTCATTTAATAAGTCTGAATACATTTTCACCACATGGTATTGTACATGGTCATCTGTTGAAACAGATTTCTTTTTTTTTTAACAGATCTCAGTTTAAAAAATTATAGATACTGTGAGCTCTGAATAAACTGGTGGGCAGCAACTTCCTTTGTTTTGATTTATATGCCTTGCTTCATTGCAGAATGAAGAATGTAAGCCAAAGAAAGCATAATTGGTCACTCATAGAACAATATTGTTTCTATAATTTGAAACTTTCTGAATGGATGGGTTCAGGCCTGGTCCAACCCTTGGAGGTGTTATGGGTCTTGTGGCATTCAGCTTCTTTTTCTCTGCAAGCTTTAAAATCTGAAAGGAGCACATTAATGTTTTATGCACACTCATCATGACACCTGCATTGTCAAATAATTGGGTGCAAAAATCAGAGTGACCAGCTGCCTCTTTGCAAAAAATTCATTATCTTTGTTCAACTACCTGATGATCTGATCTATAAGATCCAAATCATGCTTTATGAAGAAATTTTGCAAGCACTTCTGTGCACCAAATGTGAAGGGCACTCCTCTGTCTCCGCTGAGAAGCTTTTTGAGGGCCATATTTGAAACTTGTTGGGAAAGTGTGGTTCTGGAGGTTGAACTCAGGGCCTTGGACTTGCTAAGCACACACTCTGCCACTGAGCGACATCTCCAACTCCCATTGGGGAGCTTTTAGTGCCAAAACCAGAACATTTCAAATATTGGACTTCTTTGGTTAGATCTTCAACTTATAGTCAATGCAGATATTCCAAAGTCCAAGAATCTCTGAAATATGAAACAGTTCTGGTCCCAAGTGTTTTCAGGCATACTTAACCTGAACTATTGTTCTGCAGCTCTCTGAGGCACTCTGTTTATTCATTTATCAATCTTCATTCTTGCTATTATTCTATTTGAGTAATTTCTATTGATCTAGCATCAGGTTCACTGACTTCCCTTGTCCTCTGCACTTTGCTACTGAGCTCATCCAATCAACTTTTTAAAAATTGTTACTGTATTTTAACTCTAACATTTCCATTTGGTTCTTTACTCCCCATTCCCATGACTTGTGTATTTCCTTTCATTTCAAATATTTACCTTTATTTCTTTATTTCTTTTTTTTTGAGACAGGTTCTCACTATGTAGTTGAGACTGACCTGGAACTCACTATGTAGCCCAGGCAGGTCTCGAACTCACAGCGATCCACCTGCCTTAGCCTCTGGAGTGCTGGGATTACAGGTGTGTGCCACCAAGCCTAGCTACCTTTATTTCTTGAAGGATTTTTATAATAGTTGCTTTAAAAACTTAGAATTCTGATAGCAAAAGAAAAAAATTGCAAATTGGTAGATTACATTGAAAAACTCCAGTATTTACAACTGAAAAAAAAAAAAAAAAAGAAAACAATTCTTTTATTTTGGTACTGGGGATTGAACTCTTCCTTGTGCTTGCGAAGCAGGCAGGAGAACCACTGCACTAAATACCGAGCAAGAAAACAGTTCTTTTTTTTTTAAGTTTTTTGAGACAGGGTCTCACTATGTAGTTGAGACTGATCTGGAACTCACTATGTAGCCCAGGCTGGTCTCGAACTCAGTGATCCTCCTGCTTCAGCCTCCCTAGTGCTGGGATTACAGGCGTGTGCCACCATGCCTGGCTAAGAAAACAATTCTAACACCTGTGTCATTTTAACATTGGTGTTTATTGAGTCTTTTTTCATGTAAATTGAAATTTTCTAGTTGTTTGTTTTGTTTTGTTTTTTGGTATAGGAGATTGAACTAGGGACCTTGGGCTTGCAAGGCAGGCGATGGCATCACTGAGCTAAATCCCTGGCCTGATTTTCTAGTTGTTTGTATGCCAGGGATCGAACTTATTGCTCTTTTTTGACAAGGTTCAAATGTACACATGGTCACCTTGGAAGAGGCCTATGAGTTCATGAACAGCTTAGAAAGGTTTCTCTTTTGAATTCTCCTTTTCTGTGACCTCCCTGGTACTTTTGTGCTTCTTTGAGTTTCTTTCTTGTATTCCTTGAGCCAGAAAGCTGGGCTGTGTTTTCCTAGTGTGAGGGCCAGGAGTTGGGAGGTCTGAGAGAGAAGCAAAGCAAGGGCTACTTGCCCACTTTTTGAGGACTACAGCTCCTCCAATCAGAAAGAAAGGTTCTCCTCCCTCTGAATTGTGTGCTTCTGTGTCCTAATTACTGCTGCCTAGCATTGTGTGAGAGCTAGGCATGAGAGATTAGAAAAAAGGGAAGAAAAAGGATTTCACAGCTTTCTGGGTGTTGGGAGACCCATTTCTGCTCCTTAGGCCACTAGACGTCTGCAGCCCCACTGACTTACTAATGCCCATCCAGGTAGTGTTGAGTTCAGGTGGAAAAAGGTGGGCCTGAATGGAGAAAAAAGTGATAAATTCATTGCTAATTTGGTGGTACTTCTTATTCCCCAGGCCATCTGTGTCTCTGCTCTTCATAGTCTGGTTATCTGCAGCACGCTTTCTCTCCAGGTTTTGTAGTTGTAGTTGGTGGGAGAGACAGGCTGGAATATGCTTACTCTGTCATATCTAAAACCTGTCTTAGTATGTTCTGGGTAAGGTCTATGTATCCTTTAGTTATGCTGAATTTCACAGTCTAAAGTGTTCATAGCCACATTTCACACTTTTCCATTTGTATTTCGTTTTTTAATGTTCACGTCTTAGCAAGCATAGGCAGTTTTATAGAAAGAATTTGTTTTCCTTGACTCCTAGGGTAAAGTAAAGAAGCTTTGAGTCCGAAATTCAGAAGCTTGCCAAGACCTGTTTGGAAATTAACCCCGAGGACTTCTCATATCTGTGGTTGATTGTGCAATGCCTGCAAAAAGCACAAGAAGCTAGAAAAGACTAAATGATCCTTACAGAAGTAGCAACAGAAAAGATAGTTTGTTATTGGATATCATTTTCTACAGATGAAACTTAGATCACATGATTTCTGTCTGGAGAGTTGAGTTTCGAGGAGATACTCCTTGTTGTGTACTGAGGAAGGGCTCTTGTCTTTCCCAGCTTTTAATATGAGAAAGCTTTTGAGCAATTTTTGCAAGATGAAAACTGTCTGTCCACTGCCACATGTTCTAGGAAAGGGGGATGCTATTTAATCATCATCAGTAGAGGCTTTGAATTCAGGTAATAATTCAGGAAATCATAACATAAATGATCAATCTAATTAGAAATACTGTTTACAATCATTACAAGCAAAGGCTGATATTTTTACAATATAAAGAGCATTTACAAACATGATAGTCTAGAAAACCTAAACAGAGACATTTGCAAAGGAAATATAATATAGATTACTGATTGATAACTGGATAAATGTATGTTTCTTCACTAGTTAAAAAAAAGCATGCGTATTAAAACATCAAATTAATTTGTCCTTTTGCCTTGGTAGAGATCAATCCAGTATTACTATGTAAAGTAACTAAGCTAATCTATTGATTATATTAAAATGTTTTCTTTTTAGGTCATCCATGCCTGGCTTATTGTTTCATCTCTATTGTTGCTGTTCTTTTTTTCATTCATTTACTTAGGGTAAGTGCTGAAAATTTTAGTCTCTATTTAAACTGTGTTTGGGCTCCATAACTGTTTTGAAAGCTATGTCCCTTATTGATGAATTAGTCTTAAGTTACAATTGTTTCCATATAACTCTCATATTTGGTATATAAAAGATGAATTATTTATAGGGACATTCTCAGCTGGGCATGGTGGTGCATACCTGTAATCCCAGCACTTGGGAAGTTGAGGCAGGAGGATTGCCATGGATTCGAGGCCAGCCTGGGCTACATAGTGAATTTAAGGCCAGCCTGAATTAGCGCAAGACCCTATCTCAAAAAAAAAATATGTGAATCAGAGTGTTTTAAAGAGTTGTAAAAATGTACATAAGCATGAATTGATTTTTAAACTTTTCTGTTTTTATCAAATCTTATGTGAAATTTTCACATGTGAAATAACAGTGGAGCTATTCTATTAAGGAGGATAGTTAGGCTCAGAGATTTACCAGCCTGTCCTTCCTCAGAAGGAAAAAAGGCAGTAAAACTAATAAATGTGATGGACTACCACTCTGCCATAAAAAAGATAAATGTAAATCATTTGTAGAAAAATGAATGCACTTTGAGACAGTAATGTTAAGTGAAATAAATCAGACACTGCACCTCCACCAGTATCAATAATAGTAGAGGCCCAAATGATTTCGTAGGGATTTTTACTAAATCTTTAAGGAGTAGATAGCTCTAACAGTGTTTCAACTATCACAGAACATAGATAAAGAAGAAAAGCTTACAGATTGTTATGACATTGATGGTGATGATTGTGATTATTATTGTTATTAGTGAGATGGGATCTTGCTAAGTTGCTGAGGCTAGGCCCAAACTTGATATCCTCCTGCCTCAGCCTCTGAGTAGCCACGTTCCACCATGCACATCCCAGATTCATTTGATGAAGCCAGCATAAGAGTGATAACCAAAACTCTATAAATTGTCCCCCTTCTACTCCCCTGCACCAGGGAGCAAACTCGGGACTTGTACTTATGAGGCAGGTGTGGCGCCACTGAGCTAAATTTCTGGCCCAACCCTGTAAGTTATTAAGAAAAAGAAAACTATAGACCAATCCTTCTTTCTTTCTTTCTTTTTGGTACTGGGGATCGAACTCGGGTCCTTGTGCTTGTGAGGCAGGTGGCAGAACCACTGAGCTAAATCTCTACCCTAATCCTATTTATTGATGCAAAAAGAATAAATATTAACAAATAGAATGCTGGAATACATTAAAAGTAATACATTACAACCAACTAGAGTTTGTCTACAGAATTAAAGTCTGATTTGTTATTACGAAATTTCAGTATAAGTCACCACATTAGTAGATCATCATTTCTGAACAAGCTAAAAGGCACCTGGTAAGATTTAGCACTTCTTCCCAATCAGATTCCTTAATAAAACAAATACTGTGGATGGTTACTTCTCTCACATGATAAAATGAATAGATCTCATTCTCAAAGCCATTGTCATCCTCATATGGAAACTAGAAGCTTGTATATTAAAGTCAGAAACAAGAAGGTAGTTTCTTTTGCTACACTATTGTCTATTTTTGCTCTGGAAAGGAGAGAGTAATGAGCTATTTAATTTGGAAAAGATTAAGTTATCAATATTTGGAGATAACTTGGCAGCAGAACTAACCAAAAATAGAATCACTACATAAATTTGGTAAGACAATTGAATAAATACAACATTTATTTTATTTATTTAGGTACTGAGGATTGAACTCAGGACCTTGTGCTTGCAAGGCAGGTGTGGTGCTTTGCTAAATCCCTGGCCCTGAATACAGCATTTGTAAATGCATATCAATATGTTCACATAAGCAACTAGGTTAAAAAACCTAATGAAAGGAAAAATCCTTTATGATAGCCACATATACACACACACACACAAAACAACACCCCTATGGATTCAATAATCATTGTGCAAGATGTTACAAGAAATTTTTAAATGCTTCTGAATGGCTTAAAGATTTAAACAAATGGAAAATTGTACTAGGTTACATAGTAAGGTTCAATATTGTAAGATGTTGATTTTATTTTAAAATTTGATATAGACCCACTAAAAATATTTATTTAAGATTTTTTTTCTTTTTTTTAATAGGATTTAATTTTAATTCTAGATTGAATTTATTTTTAATCTGGACAAGAGGACACTTAGTTTATAATGGAAAAATAAATGAGAATATCTAGTAGGTTTCTGGAAATTAAAATAATGTAAAGGTCCTAGGCTTACCTCATAAGAAATTATAAAACTACAATATTAACACAGTTATACCTAAGCTGGGTGTGGTTGTAACACTGCTGTAATGCCAGTGCTCTGGGCACTGAGGCAGGAAGATTGCAAGTTTGAGCCCAAACTGGACAATTCAATGAAACACTGTCTCAAAATAAAAAGGGCTAGGGATGTAGCTCAGTATAAAGTCCCAAAGTTCAAGCCTCAGTACCACAAAAAATAAATAAAAATAGCGGTACCCTCATCATGAATAGATGATCAGTGGAAAAGATTAGAAAGTCTAGAAAAAATGCTCAGATTTATAATGGAATTTAGTTTTATGTTAAAGATGACAGCATTAGTAGGCTTTTGATGGATTATTACTAATTGGTATGGGAATAATTGAATAGTCCACTGGAAATAAAATTTTAGATTCCTTTATCTCTATAACAGAATGAATTCCAAATGGATGAAAAATCTAAAGCATACCATGAACAAAATCAAAGGATGAATGACAAACTACTAACTATATTTTCTCCTGTTACACGAAGGCTAATTTATATATAAAGAACCTCTTCATGGCCTATAGCCTAACAGAAAAATAGACCAAGGATATGAAGAAAAAAGAAAAAAAAAAGATAGCTAAGATAAACACACAAATTACTCTTAAATGTGTGAAAACTTGGCACATCTTCCTTATAAGATGAATTACAGTTAAAGCTACACATTAAGTTAACGAAGATCAAATAGTTTGGTAATACCTTAACTGTAAAAAATATAGAGAAAGAAACATCTCACCTATTGATATACTTTTATTAAGAGCAATTTGGTAGCCAGATGTTGTAGCATAGGCCTGTAATCCCAGCACTCTACGGGAGACTGAGACAGGAGGATTATAAGTTTGAGCCTATCCTGGGCAATTTAACAAGATTCTGCTTCACAATAAAAACTAAAAAAGGGATGGGGATATAGCTCACTGTAAAGGCCCTACGTTCAAAACCCAGTATCCCCCAAAATAAGTTGTTTGGCCCAGCCATTAAAAATATTACTTGAACTCAGTAATTTATAGAAATAGATAGCACTGTTTCAATTAGGGAAAGAACAAACTCAGTCTAAACTGATTTAAAACTAAATTGCTATATCCATGAAGCGCAGCTATTAAAAAGAATGAGGCAACTATAATGTGCTAGTGTGGAAAGTTCTTCCTAAGTATTGTTAAAAGAAAAAAATGTTATAGAATAGTAAATATAATATGCTCTCATTTAGTGTCTAATAAAAAAGTAGGTATAAGGGCTGGTGATTTAGCTCAGTGGTGCTGCTGCCTGCCTTGCAAGTGCAAGGTCCCAAGTTCAATCCCCGGTATTCCCCCCAAGAAACTCCCCCCAAAATATGTATATTTATATATTTTCCTAGACTCTGAAAAGATACAGGGGAAATTAATAAGTAGTACTTTCCTCTAAAGGAAAACTGGGAGTAGGAAAGGAAACTTTTCTTTTTTGGGGGTATATTTTGAGGAAACATTTTTCATGGAATCTTTTCTGAATTTTATCTTATTCATGGTTGGTGTAAATTTTAAAGACTGATATTAGTTTGTTTCATTTTGTTCGAGTGCTAGTATATTGGAAATGTTTAGTACACATAGCAACATTATTTAGAAATTTCAGCATTTATTTTGCAATTTCAAAGTGAGGGGAAGAATCTTCTTGGATGGCCCCTTAATCCAAAGTTTGCACTTAAAAAAGTTTGCACTACTTTCTCTTCAGTTACCCAGGACATCTTCCAGTCGCAGTCTTTCTTTTTAAATGGTGAATATTTTCCCTAAAATATAAATACTATTTTTCTTCATTATACACATGTTTTTTGTTGTTGTTGTTGTTGTTTTGTTTTTTGAGTCTCACTATGTAGTTGAGACTGAACTGGAACTCACTATGTAGCCCAGGCTGGTCTCGAACTCACAGCAATCCTCCTGCCTCAGCCTCCCGAGTGCTGGGATTATAGGCATGCACCACCACACCTGGCCATTATACAAATGTTAAGCATTCATTGTTTGAAGAAAAAAGAAAAGTAGGTGCTGGGAATGTAGCTCAGTGGTAGAGTATTTGCCTCGTATGCACAAGGCTCTAGATTCTATACCCAGACTGGGCGGGGGGAGTAAGTGGGGAGTATAGTTCAGTAGTAGAGGGTTAGATTAGTGTATGCAAGGGTTCAATCCCTAGCACCGCAAAAAAAATACAGCTGCCTAGCTTACACGACATTCTGGGCTTGCTCCCCAGGACACCCCCTCATAAAATACATCCACACATATAAATGGAAATAAAAGACATAAGACTGAAGATAAGTCTTGTCATCTTTCAGGAATTAGTATGTCAATCTTTTGCTCTCCCTTCTATACACTATTTCTTATAAATGTCATTTTTTCCCAATAGTATGACATGCTGTGTACTGTGTGTGTGTGTATATTTTAAAAATACACATTTTCTAATGAATGTACTAAATTTCATCGTGTGAAAAAAAATTTATGTTGTAGCTATGAAATTTATAGGTACGTGTTTATCTTATTTATGTTATTTTTTGGTATTGGGGATCAAACCCTGGACCTTGCACTTGCGAGGCAGGCAGCAGAACCACTGAGCTAAGTCCCCAGCCCTACAAGTTAAATTTCTTCAGTGTGGTGGCACTGTCTTTAACTCCAATTGCTTGGGAGGCTGAGACAGGAGGATCATAGGTTCAAAGCTATCTTGGGCAACTTAGTGAGATCCTGTCTCAAAAAGGACTGGGAGAATAGCCTGAGGGTAGAGTGTTTACCTAGTATGCATGAAGTCCTGGGTTTAATCCCCAATAACTGCAAAAGCAAAGAAAAGTAAGCTCCACTTGAGGAAAAAGTGAATTTAAAGAAAACTGTTAAAGGGGTATGGGGAAAAAATATAAGAACCAAGACATATCATGTAAAGGTGCAAGATCCCAATGATAAATATAACTATTGTTTGCTTTAAATGTATCAATAAACTTAATGTGGGGGGAAGAAAAGTGTTAATATAGAACGTGGTACAAATGTGAAGGTGGCATTTGAATATCTCGTATTTGGGAATGTAGTTCTGAACAGTGTCTTGGTAAGAATTATGACACATAAATCTTTTTAAATCTGTTTTTTTTTCAGGGAAGTGTTTAAAACCTATAATGTTGCCATGGACTACATTACAGTTGCACTCCTGATCTGGAATTTTGGTGTGGTAGGAATGATTTCCATTCACTGGAAAGGTCCTCTTCGACTGCAGCAGGCATATCTCATTATGATCAGTGCCCTCATGGCCCTGGTATTCATCAAGTACCTCCCCGAGTGGACTGCATGGCTCATCTTGGCTGTGATTTCAGTATATGGTAAAATCCAAGGCTGACACTTACTCATCACAGAAATGCTTCATTGGTATTTTCCTTCCTCTTCTAGTTCTTTGGCTTAGATTGAACCCAGGACTTTGCCCATGCTAGACAAATGCTGTACCATAGCCACACCTCCATACCACCAGCTCCTGAGGATGAGTTCATTACAATGTCTTACTACTATTCCCATTTTAACTCAGCAGTGGGTTAGTTGGAGGAGCCATGGACTTCTGGTCGGGAGATTTAGACCTAAAACCTCCTTTCTTAGCATGCATGAGACCCTGCATCTGAGCCCCAGTACCCAAGGGGAAAACACTTTGCTACCAATAGTTTTCATGATCTTAATAACATGTCTCCAGCTCTTTGAGCTTCATTTCCTCATTTGTAAATTAGGAACAGTGCTTCAGAGTTAAAGAGTTCAGTGAGTTGAGGCTGGGCATGGTGTCACATGCCTATAATCCTAGTATTCTGGGAGACTGAGGCAGGAAGATCATAAGTTTAACCCCAGTGACTTACTGAGAATCCTGTCTTAAAATTTTTAAAAATTTAAGGAGGAAGGAAGGAAATAAGAAAGGGGCTAGGGATGTAGCTCAATGCAAAGGTCTTTGGTTCAGTCCCCAGTACCAAGAAGAAGAAAAAAAGAGTTCAGTGAATTGAATATATGTTAGAAAGCACTGTTGGAGTTCCTTTTTTTTTTTTTAACATGTGCGTCCAGTTTATTTCATTTAAGAGTATGGTCTCAAGGTCCATCTATTTAGCTATAAATGTCTGAAGCTCCCCTTCTTTGTGGCAGAGTAGTACTCCATTGCTTTAAAACAAACACACATCTTTATCCACTCATCTGCTGATAGGCAGTTGGGTTGTTTGCAACATTTAGCTATTACAAACTGTGCTGCTATAAACATAGGTGTGCATATATTGCTGTGATATGATGCTTTCAATTCTTTCGGGAAGATACCAAGAAGAGGTATAGCTGGGTCAGGTGGGACCTCTGGTTTTACTTTTTTGAGAAATCTCCACAGTGATTGCACCAGCCTACCAACCCACCATCTACACTCCCAGTGGAGAAGGGTTCCTTTTGCCCCCACAGCCTCTCCGGCATTTGTTATTGGTTGATTTCTTGGTAGCAGCCATTCTTTCTGGAGTAAGATGGAATCTCAGCATTGTTTTAATTTCCATTTTATGAATTACCACTGATGTTGAACACTTTTTCATACTTCTACGGAAGGAATTGGTAGGTGGTACAGAGACAGCAGAATGGAAGTAAAATAATCACTTACCGATTCCTTCCATAACAACACAAGTCCTTTATCTGAATAGCTGGTAACAATTTTTTCCTACTCTGTGAGTTGTCTCTTCACCCTGTTGGTGGTTTCTCTTCCTGTGCAAAAGCTGTTTAATAAGATGAGGTTCCAATTGATTCTTTGTAGTATTTTCTGTGTGGTCTGGGTTTTGCTCATGAAATCTTTGCCTCCTTCTATGTCAAGTATTCTACCTAGTCTCTTTTCCAGCTGGTGTAGTGTTTCTGTTTTAATATTTAGATCTTTGATCCATTTCAATTTTAGGTTAGTGCATGGTGAAAAATAGGGGTCTAGTTTCAGTCTTTGGCATGTGGAGAGCCAGTTTTGCTAACACCATTTATTAAAGAGGCTATCTTTCTCCCAGTGAAGATGTTTCGTTCCTTTGTCAAAGATAAGGTGGTTGAGTGTTTCTGGAGTTGTTTGTGAATGTGCTAGTCGGTTCCATTGATCCTCAGGTCTGTTCTTTTGCCAGTACCTTGCTGTTTTTATCACAGTAGCTTTGTAATATAATTTCAAGTCAGGGATTGTGATATCCCCTGCTTTGCCTCTGTTGCCCAGAATTGCCTTTGCTATTCTTGGTCTCTTCTGGTTCCCAATGAATTTTAATATTCTTTTTTCTAATTCTGTGAGAAAGGCTGTTGGAATTTTGCTTGGGATTACATTCAATCTGTATAACAATTTTGGAAGTATGGCCATTTTCACATATTGGTTCTTCCTATCTAAAGAACTAGGAATATCTTTCCATTTTCTGATAATCCTCTTCAGTGTCCTTTTTCAGAATACTGTGGTTTTCAATGTAGAGGTCTTTTACTTCCTTCATTAGGTCGATTCCTAGGTGTTTCATTTTCTTGGATGCTATTGTGAAAGGGATTGTTTCTCTAATTTGTCTCCATGAATCTGTTATTCGTGTATAGGAAGGCTGTTGACTTTTGAGTGTTGACTTTGTATATGTGGAGTTCTTGACACATAAAATGCTTAATTCATTTTATAATCAAAATTAGGTCACTTACTTTTCATAAAGCAGATTGAGTGGAATTACCCCTTTAATATTAAAGTTACTTGGATAATGTGGGACTCAGATTCTTTAACTACATATATAACATGGGTCCTGAAAAATCAGAATGGACCCTTGCTGTGAGTAACTGAAGCACATAGAGCTAAGTACTGTATCCCCAAAGGAAAGCAAAGAGAGCCAACTTCAGAGGCCAGACAGCAGTCTTTGTATTCTAGAGATTGTTATTTTATCACTGATCAAATATGTATTAAATTGTCTGATGACCTGCAGTAGAAAACCTTTTCCTCTCCAAAGAAAAAGTCCAGAAATAGAGTTGAACTATTTCTGTTCAGTATTTGAGCAACTAGTCTGAATTGATAGAAGTCACGTACTCTTTATGCCTGCCTTTCATAAAGAGTTTGTAATGGTTTGTAAAGTCCATCATCTGTGATTAGGAACGGCAGATCTGGAGACACAGACTACCTGGGTTTAAAACAGACTCTTCCACTAGTCTCACTCTTTGGCTTTGGGAGCACAGACAAGTTACTCAGCCCCTAAATTTCAGTAATTGTGATGCTTATAACAGTATCTAATGGGAAATGTTAGCTTTTTAAAAATTATGTAACCCTGTGAAATAAGCAAGACAGTTATTACCCATGTTTTACTATTAAGAAACTGGAGATTTATAGATGTAAGTTATTCACCCAGGCTTTTATATGGTTTGATCTAGAATCTGAAGCCCAAGTTCAGTGTTCTTTCCACTGTATTACACTACCATCAGCCCTCTGCTTCTTCCACACATAATACAAGTGATTATCTCTTCAGAGCTTGAGTTCTTTTAAGGGTCTTGTATCCAGTATTTAGAGTAGTGATTCTTCATTTTTCCAAAGTTTGAAGATGTTTTGTCATAAATGTTCTTAAAATTTCAAAACAAAATTAAGTTTTACTCACTTTAATTGCTCTAAAAATAAATGAGTTTTTCACTTTGAAGTTCTGTAAGATAAAGTGTGTTATAAAACCAAAATAGTTATAGCTTGTGGAACCTTTAAACAAGCTGAAGATCTCATCATTTCAGAACAAGGCTAACTTTTGTCATTCTGACAAATCAAAGTGAAAATGGTGAGAGTAGAGGTATCTAGGTGTGCATGCGCGCGTGCGTGTGTGTGACTATAGTCTCGTTTCTTTTCTTTATTTGGTAATACAGAGAGACATAACCACTGAAAACACGAAGTTTTTTTTTTTTTTTAACATTAATGCAGTAAAGTCAACAAAAATATCAAATTTTCCTTTACAAATTTAGGTACACATGTTGTATGCTTCTAAAATTATTTTCTATATTCTGAATCTTCATGTCACAAAATGTAAGAAAAATTGCAGTTGACAGAAGGAAATTATGGTAAAATTGGGAATAATTTAGACAGTTTGCTTCCTTCTTTGTTGCTATTTTTATAAAATAAGCCGGTTTTCAGGACATATACTCTGAGACCTGAATATTTATGGAGTGGTTGCATTGGACTAGAAGCTAAAGAAATGCAGAGAATTATTGATTGTTTTTCTGTTTAAAATTAGTGTGCTCAGCTGGGTGGGGTGGTGCACCCCTGTAATCCCAGCACTCGGGAGGCTGAGGCAGGAGGATCACTGTGAGTTTGAGTCCAGCCTAGGTGAGTTCCAGGTCAGTCTCAACTACATAGTGAGACCCTGTCTCTAAATAAATAAATAAATAGATAGATAGATAGATAGATAGATAGATAGTGTGCTCTTGTTTCAAGTATTCTTTTTTTTTTTGTACCAGGGATCAAGCTCAGGACCTTGTGCTTATGATGCAGGCAGAGGCACTACTGAGCTAAATCCGTGGCCCTCATTTCAAGTATTCTTAAGTAATATGTATACTTTTTTGTTTTTTCTTGCACTTCTGGGAATTGAACTCAGAGCCTCATATATGGTAGGCAACTACTGTACCACTGAGTTAAACCCTCAGCCTTATGCTATTTTTAAAAAGGAGAGGATGGATATCTTCTCTCCTCTTCCTACTTTAAAATATTTAAAAATACTTTGAGTAAAGCTTCTAGTTAGAGCTTAGTTTAGAAATGACTCCCTGTTTCTGCTTATCACAGATTGACATGTGTTTTAGAATAGTTCTGCCTTGTTACCTCTACCTCCTTCCTTCAAACTGACTCATTCTCTGTTCCCACCGCCAGAATCCAGTGATAATATACCATAGACCAAGCAAATAGCAGTCAAACCCAGATTACAATTTTTATATATCTTTTATCACACTTTATTTTGTTTAGGTTGCCCTGTCCCTGTTTGTTTACCTACCAGTTGTTTCATATTCATTCAGTACCTTTTTATATAAAAACAATAAACCTTAAATCTTGTTCCTTGATTAATTCTTTCCTAACACATCGATTTACACATTTACCATGTATATTTTATTTTTTTCTTTCTAGATTTAGTGGCTGTTTTGTGCCCAAAAGGTCCACTTCGAATGCTAGTTGAAACAGCTCAGGAGAGAAATGAAACTCTCTTTCCGGCTCTCATTTACTCCTGTAAGTATTTCAAAATGATGGTAAATTAGGAATCAACTTAGAATTTGTGGAACTCGAACACGTAATTATGGTCATTATCATGGCACTTTCTCTCATCTTAAATATATACTATCAATGGAGTCCTGCAGATCTTTCCTTGCTGTTATTACATGCCCTTGGTTCAAGAGTTTTCAGTATGAGTGCAAACAGGAAATACCGAGAGTTCAAGGAGCCATTATATTAGTCAAGAATTATTGGGAGCCGGGAATGTATGTAGCTTAGCAGTGCAGTGTCTACCTGGCAAACGCAAGTCCCTGATTTCGAGTCCCAGTACCAAAAAAACAAAAAAACAAAACAATTATTGAGCAAGTTGGGTATGTAGCTCAGCACTCTGGGTGGCTAAGGCAGGAAGGTTATAAGTTCAAGCCCAGCCTGGGCAACTTAGTGAGACACTGTCTTAATAAAAAAGAAGGGCTAGGAGTGTAGGTCAGTGCAAAGGCTCTGGGTTTAATCTCCAGGCTTTGGGTTTAATCTCCAGTGCTTCAAAAAATGAATGAATGAATGAATGAGAACACTACATACTAATCTTGCCATAGCTTACTGCAGGAATTGTACTATTCTTCAGAATATGTTGCCCTTTTTTTTTTTGGTCTCAGCGTCTTACTCTTCCTAATCATTCAGTAAATACTGATCATAGTACTAACAAATGAATTTGGAAAAGCAGATTAAGGTAAGATAAGGGATATCTTTGAGTGATTGGTTCAGATATCTGTTTGCTATTCAGTGGTCACTAACGAATCATAGAAGGTTCTTGAAGAAGAGTAACGTGATCAGAGCAATCTTAGTAGGCCAGCAGTATTGTGTAAGGCAAATTGCAGGGGTGGGTGGGTACTGGATGCATATTAAACATCACTAAGAGGATATTGGCTTAATGTAGATGGAAAATACTGAGCCCCTGAACTGTGCTATTGGCAATGGGCATCAGGGAAAGGACTTGCTGAGAGGTTTCATAGAATCAGTAGTTGTTAGCACCTAAGGAGAGAAATTTTAAACCTGAAGGTAAGGTGACGAAGAAGAAATTTATCTTGTTTAGAGATCTGTTTAGTTTTGTGTACAGCTGTGGCCATCTAATTTATTTGGTGAGATATGTGGGCTGTCCAGGTAGAAATTTCCAGCAGGAGAGAGTGAGATGTGGTAATGTTCACTCACAATCCCAGTTACTTGGGAGGCTATGACAGGAATTTGACAAATTTGAGGCCAATCTGGTCAACTTAGTAAGACCCTGTTTCAGAATGTAAAAAGGGCCAATGGTGTAGCTCAGCAGTAGAGCGCTTGCCTAGCATGTGCAAGATCCTGGGTTCAATCCCCATTACCTCCAAAAAAGAGTGGGAAAAACCCTAACCCCCTGAAAGAAAGAAAAAAGTAAGTTCCAGCAGTGTTCAGAAATGAAGTACCAAAGGTGATAACAGAGAGGTAGAATCAAAGAATCAGATACAGGTGGTGGGTGGTTAGGCCCTGCGACTGAGTACATAATTCAAATACAAGTAGTAGAAGTGCCAAGGGAAGAGCTTGGCCAACTCCTTTCATATAGAAGGTAAGAAAACAAAGAATACTAAAGAGAACAGCAGAAAACTGGAAAAGCTAGTGGTGCCAAATTGCATCTCCTTTTTGTAATATGAAGGTTCCACTTACCCTTTCATTGTTTCTAGCTTGGATGCATGTGTGTGCACACATGTGTATGAGATCCAGTAGGCACAATAACGTCTAATCACACATTTTTTTGTTTATTAATTGCTTTTAGATAATTTAAACATTTTTATGTATTTCTTAGATACATACTTGATTTTTGATTTGTATATCACTTCATTTGGTGTAATGTTCTTTTCCATATTTAAATTAATTTTTAATTATACAATCAATGCATTAATACATTATCCTTAAAGGGAAAAGTTAAAGATAAATATAACAGTCTTTTTTTGTTTTTTGTTTTTTAATTTTTGAAACACGCAATTCAGGCTGGCCTTGAACTCACTATGTATAGCCTATCCTGGCATCAAACTTGTGACTATCATCATACCTTAGCTTCACAAGTGCTGGATTACGGGGATGCGCCACCACACCCAGCTTAAATCTCATTATCAGCTTGATGTATGTTCTTATAGTTTCTATATTCTCAGTCTTCAGTTTAGTTTTTGGTTTTGGGGTTTTTTTGTTTGTTTTTGCCTATTTTCTTTTGGATTATTGAAAAAGCAGAGTTTCAAGGAAAGTCTTTCATATCCATAAAGAAGTCAAAGGTAATAAAGACTAAATCTGATAGGCATCATTAATAATATTCAAGAGATCAATTTCAGTGCAATGATAGGACCAGATATAATGGTTGAAAGAGAGGACTGTGTTTTTATCTGTATTTTGCAGGTGCTGGCAGTGGATGTGACAGTGTAGACTGGGAATGCTAGTGCAGAAGAGGTGTAGTGAGTACCACCCACTACTTTGAAGCTTCCTGTCCCATGGGCAGAGCAGCTAGTAACTTGAAAGGAGACCAGGTTTGAGGAAAGGTTATTTCCAGGAAAGGAAAGATTTAGTCATTTTCTAAGGCTGACCAGTAGTCAGTGAAAAAGGGCTTTGAGGAGACCCTAGGAATTCATGGTGAAAGGTTCTATACAGAGCAGGTAGATATTACTCTCAGGGTTCAGGAAGAGGAGCTGGGTATGGACAGATGAAAACCTGGACTGAAGGAAAAGGGAGACTGAAAAATCAAAAGAGTCAGACAGAGTGAGGAGGTAAAGCTGAGAGCACACGTTAGGTGACCTTGATCTTTCTGATAAACTCAATTTTAGGTCATTTGTAGGGTCATGTCTGTAACTGGTAGTTTTAGAACAGCCATTGTCTGGGATGCTAGGATCCTTTACTGTTTCTGCAGCATAAACTGATTATCATGTACTCACTGTGTTTATTGGCAGAAAAGAGCCACGAAGTCTTGGGCATCAGCATTTTCCTCTTAATGAACACCTGAGTATGAACTTCTTGCATGTTATTCCTGGAAATTATAGCCTACGTATTTTATGTTGGTGTATACAAAATGTTTCATGAAATGTTAATACTGAATGCTAGAAATTTATACTAATGAATGTACTTGTAAAAGTATAGAAAGATGTTCACTGTAGCAGTGCATATATGAGGGGAAAACTGTTAGCTACCTAAGTGTTCATCAGAAGGGGGCACTTTTAAATAATTATGGTACATTCATATAATGGATAACTGTGCAGCTATTAAAAAGCATAGGGTAGGGTTGAGGATATAGCTCAGTGACAGTGCATATGTTTAGCATGTGTGAGGCCCTGAGCCTCACAATCCCCAGCACCACACACACACACACACACACACACACACACACACACACAAGGATAGCTCTATATATGTCCAGTTATTTTTTTAAATGCCCACGACTATATAAAGTACAAAAGAAATTTAAGGCAGTACATGTAATAACCTATAGGAGAAAATAAGACAGTATTTATGAATATATCTGTATATTTAAAATACTCCGTGACCCATTAAAAAAATTGAAGATATATTAATAATGCTTACCTCTGGGAAGCAGGATTTAGAGATTAAGCTCTTAAAATTCTCTTTATACTCCATCTATTTGTCTATTTTTAATTATAATTTATATAATTTTTCAGTTAAGGATGTGAGTGTAAATGTTTAAGATTTTTTTTTTACTTTTTTGAGTCAGGGTCTCACTATGTATTTGAGACTGCCTCTCTATGTAAGCCAGGCTGGTCTCGAACTCACAGCAATCCTCCTGCCTCAGCCTCCCAAGTGCTGGGATAACAGGCAAGCACCACCACACTCAGTTTTAAAGGTTTAGTGTATATGTAAATTTTTTGTATTGTTTTTACAATTTTTCTTTGGACCTGAAATTATTTCAGAATAACAAATTTTTTAAAAGCCTTTTTAGACACATGGAAAGTATAATAGTGATTCTCTTAAGCAAATAGAACAATGTCATGTTTCACTTACCAGATAGTTTGCTTCTGTTCACTCAGCAAGCCTTTGTCAAGCATCTTACTGTGTCCAAGGGATATAAAACAAAGATCAATAAATAAATCCTAGTTCTAAGCCAAAGGGGGTGGTGGGGAGTTTGTTTTTAAATGTCACTCATTATAACCCAGGTAGCTGGGTCATTGCCTCAGCTGCTTTGGTGGTGGCTTTGCTGCTTGTTTCTCTCACCAGCTTGGACCCCATGAGCTGCTGAGGACATGTTCTGGTGGTTGGATTTACAAGAGATCAGCAAGACCTGAGGTCTAGACTCTGTTAGAAAACTCATCTCTGATGTGCTGTCCCCATGGTTGAACAAGGAGGAGGAAAGATCTCTTCCACTCCATGGCAAATGTGGGTGCCATAAGGGACAAGGATTTAGAACACACTTTAAACATATCTATCATAATAGAACATCCAAGTCTGTATAAATATCACAGAACATTTGACATTCTCAAATATATGAGTGATAAATCAACATATATGGGGAAATAGTGCAGTCCTTTACCTCTCTGTAGATCAGATAGATTCAAGATAAATCTGCTCCATGAAACACTCTTGGGGATTTTATTGAGTCAGATTTTTTTAAACCTAGAATTTAAATCTTAAACATTGAACCTAACCATTAAATTTGATTTGGCTCATGACCAATTTAGTTTGCAGCCAGAAACATGGGAAGAATTAAGTTCGCAAACTGAGGCACCACTTACATGCTGCTTCATTACTAGGGTGGCTATAGAAATTGTACACGGTAGTTGTCCTTCTGTTTCTCTTTATTGGATCTGGATTTAAATAGTATATTGCCTGACTGGCCTATATTGACTTCTAATTAGATGTATTATAGTATAATGAAACTTGTTTGACCTCAGAAAGTACAAGACTGGTGAATGAGTAAGTGTGGCTGTAATGGAGTTTTTAGCTTCTTTAGTTGTTAGTTCTTTCATAAATTCTTCAAGAAACCTTAAGTTCTTCAAAAGCATGGATGAAATTATAGAGGAATAGTAATAAAAAGCAAGAGAGCTACTCAGGAGGCTGAGGCAGGATAGTCACAAGTTTGAGGCCAGCCTGGGCAATTTAGCAAGACCCTGTCTCAAAATAAAAATATAAAGGGACAGGCTCAGTGGTAAAACCTCCCTGGGTTCTATCTCCAGTATTAGGGGAAACAAAACAGCCAGAAGTTTTTATTTCTGTGTCAAAGGTTAATGTACATGTAGTTTTGTTAGATGTTATCAAATTTCCCACCCACAGAGATGACACCATTTTTTATTATTTTGGTTATAATATATAAAAGAAACATCATTTTAAAGTATTTACATTCTTTTTTTTTTTGGTACCGGGGATCGAACTCGGGTCCTTGCGCTTGTGAGGCACACCACCGAACCGCTGAGCTAAATTCCCGGCCCAATATTTACATTCTTAATTGTGTATATATTTACATATATATTTGACTTGTAAAAAGACCATAGAAGAAGCCAATTAACTATCCTCTTCATGTTTATTGCTGTGTGTGTGTGTGTGTGTGTGTGTGTGTGTGTGTGTGTGTGTGTAGTACGGGGGATCGAACTCGAAATCTTGTGCTTGTGAGGCAGGCATGGCACCATTGAGCTACATCCCCAACCCATATTTAACCTTTTTTTACTTTGTGTATGAACAGTTTAGCATTATTAAAATATTCCAGGGCTGGGGATGTTGCTCAGTGATGCTGCTGCCTGCCTCGCAAGCACAGGGACCTGACTTTGATCTCCAGTACCAAAAAAAAAAAAGTTCCAAAAGCTAGACATAACAAAGGAAATTTATTCCATGCTTCTATAGAATAATAACCATCATCTGAGGCTTTTGTGAGACTCAGTTTGTCCTAGAATCTAATTCCAATACCACTTCCCATCAATAGGCTTCCACTGCTTTAGGAGATCCCTTAGGGACCATTTCAGGGTCCCTCCCTGGCCTGAAGAAGTTTCCTTCTGGTTGCTTTTCAGGGACAACAAATGGTGTTTCATGGTAACAGCTAGAGTGTGAATGTGAATAGCAGACATTCTGTTTCGGAGTTGTTTTTTAATCTACTAAAACCAAAGAGAATCTTCCATGGGTTTTAGTGTGCATGACTTCTGATTAAAGGCTGCTAAGGCAGCATTACAAAGATCCCACAGAGAGATAATGGATTACTGTCTTATCTGTTCATGCAGTTTCCCATTATATTTCTAGTGCTAATATGAATTTTTGTCTTCCCCCACAGCAACAATGGTATGGTTGGTGAATATGGCTGAAGGAGACCCAGAAGCCCAAAGAAAGGTGTCCAAGAACTCCAAGTATAATGCACAAAGTAGGTGACGTTTGCTTGGGAATATCCTGGTTCTACAGAGCCATTGTCATCTCACAGGTGAACAGTGAGTTGCAGAGCAGTGCTTTTAACTTCTTTCTTTTGCTCATGGACTCCCTTAAGAATTTCCTGAAATGGCTATGGCAATCCCCAGTAAATATCTTAAGAAGTTGGAAGATCCCAAGCCCAACAAAGCCAGTCAAAGCATCCTGGGTTAAATATAAAATACCATTAAATACATAATGCCAGTATGGAAAGGATTATGTTGAGGCTATGATTTTTTTTTTTTTTTTTTGGTACTGGGGATCAGACTCGGGTCCTTGAA